CACACGTTTACTGAACTGTAGTATGGATGTGTTGAGATGCGTTTAAGGTCATTTTATGTGATGTGGACTTTTCTCTCTGAATGCCACAGAGACGATGGCTTATCCCAACCCCGGCACTACAAAGCTACTACTAAGGTATTCTCCCTGATTTCCCCTGAAGGGGACGCTGCTGGCAGCATCTGACCAATCACAGTTACTGATAAGTGTACTGGCAGCAGATAAGATGGCATTTCAATGAAAGGTGAAACTACACATAATAAAGACTGAAAGTAGAAAAGAGTGACGATATTGTTAAAGTTTAATAAATAGAAAGAAGGACTTTGAGGCAGTCTAAAAGAATCAATGGTTAGCTGTAAAGATGTGATTATAAAGGCAAAGTGGGCTACTCTGTCCTGTCTAACAACATCCACTGTTTTAAAAAGGCCCAAAACATCATAACAGACACCTCACATCCTGGCCACTCCCCGTTTGAACTGTTGCCCTCAGGCAGACGGTACAGGGCAATCAGAGCAAGGACTAATAGACTCAAACACAGCTGTTATCCAACTGCAATAACACATCTGAATACTACAAAAAAATGTCCATCACGCCACTCTTGTGTTAATCTATGCACGGTCTGAAGCATGTGTGTGGGAATGTATGTGAATGTTTTACTGTTACGTCTTATTAGTATTTTAAGTATTCTATCTATTTTATTTATTGAATTTTATTGTTTTATTTATATTTTGATATTGCTAGGGATGATGCAATGATCGGGGACCATTCTTAATTTCGTTGTTCTTGTGACAATGACAATAAAGTTTCTGATTCTGATTCTAAGCCCCTGAGGCAACTGTTGCCGAAACTGTTGGACAGAAAGCCGGTAAAACGCCGACTGTGTGAGCTAACAGTTAAATCAATACCACAGCTCTCTCATTAAAACACGGAGCAGTCTGATGGATTATAATCAGTGTTTCATTAAGTTAATGCTTAGTTTTTATTCTTCCAGCCTTTACGGTGTTTAATGTGTCTGATTGTTAAAATTAGATAATAATCAGCATTGTGATCGTCAGCACAGCAGTTTTTAATGCCGATTTCAGCAGAAACTCGCTGCTGTTAGCCATGCAGAGGAACAGCACCCACCTTCCTTCTTGATTTTATCGTTGATGTTGTTGATGTAGATGGTGTGGTTCGGTCTGATGTCCATGGTGGAGTCTGAGGAGACAACAGGAGAGCAGCTTCAGCTTCTTCAGTGTTCAACTCCACCTTTAAACCTCGTTTACCCGTTTAATACTTGCTAATGTCTCGGTAAACTCACACAACCAGAGCAGCAACAAATCGTTTACGTTACACTTTAAAACTCGCTGTTTGAGGAGATCTGGCTAAATCAAAAGCTTCAGCTTGAATTCATTCAAAGCTTCCCAGAAACCTCTCTCACTCGGCTAATGTTAGCATGTGTTAGCTTAGCCCAGCTAGCCTTTAAACTAAATGTTTTTTTCTGGCGTCGCTTCAACGTCAAAAAATCGCCTCTACAGATTTAACCTCCGCCCAGCAGCTCCTCCGTTAAACCGCGGTCAGAGGAGCCTCGGATAAACGTTTTAACATAAATATAGAGCTCACCTCCTCTGGGCTCACACCGCTCATGTAGTTTCCGGAAACACTTCGCTGTGGCGCCGGCTGAAGCTTTCACGACCTCTGCCCTCCGCCGCCACCAGCAGGCCAGGAGGAGAACTGCAGCTACCTGTGAGCTTATTACAACTCATTAAATCTAAACTAAAATCGGAATCAGAATACTTTATTAATCCCCAAGTAAATTATGTGGATCACAGTTGCTCCAAGACAGTAACAGTAAATGTATTTAAATAATACAACATGTTACAGAGTTTACAAATTTAAGAAATAGCACTAATATGTACAAATCGCTCAATTATAAATATTAAGAATATTACAAAGGTGAGAATATTACATGGGTGGAATATATATGTTTGACATTTCACTCTAACCTGTGAACTTTGTCAGTTGCTATTTTACTGTCGAGTGTGTGCAAAAAGGATGTAACTAATGGAGTGTGTACAGGGAGCCACAGGCAGGAATAATTTCCTGTGTTGTTCAGTGGTGTTTTTGGTAATCTCAGTCTCTCACTGAATGTGCTCCTGTGACTGGCCAACATGTCATGGAGTAGGTGGGAGGTGTTATCCAGCATTGTCTTTATCTTAAACAATCTCTGCCTCTCAGACACCACCCTAAGGGAGTCCAGCTCCATCCCCACAACATTAATGGCCTTGTTGATCAGTTTATTGAGTCTGTTGGCATCAGTGACCCTCAGCAGTGACCTGGCTGTCAGTGACAGCAAAAGCTCAGACATGCAAGTGCTCACTGAAATAATGTTAGAAACTAAAAAACAAAACAAAACAGCCCTTAGAGGTTTCTGCACAGGCCAAACTATTCCATCTTCCAATACAGTACTTATTTTCAGTTAGATAAAAAAAACAATGCTAAAAAAAAATCTGAAGTTTTCTTAATTTTGCATTTTTCAAACTTTTTTTAACTTGTTTTCATGATTTTTCGCCAGTCTTCATCTGTTTAGGTAAATATATGTGTGCAGAATAATTTCAGTCACTTAAAAACCTGTCAGGTATTATTATTATTATTAATCAGATTTTGCTTTCTGTATACTTATTTTTCCATATAAAACCTCAAATGTGTGTTTTTGTTTACCCCCAGTTATTAAAAGATGAACATTAAAATCTCTCGCGTCCTGTATTTCTTCATACAGATCATTTCCCGTCCTTCCGGAGGTGTGTCCCCTCCTGGCTTCCATACATCCCGATGTTTTTACCACCTGATGCCGGCTAGCAGGCTAGCAGCTAGCAGCGACCGCAGGTCTGAGGCAGCGGGACAGCGACTCGGTGTCAGCGGACTCTGATAGCATCCACTCGCTCCCGAGACCCCCTCCCCCCCACCCGGTCTCCATCTGTGCCCTTTGGACCATTCTCCGCACTCCGCTTTTATCTGTACGACTTTTGCCCCGTTTATCCGCTCGCCTGTTAGCGGCCATAAAGCGGCTCCTCTCCGCGCAGCGGCGGACAGCAGCGGGATGAGCCATGGCGTCGGTCCGGGTGGCTGTGCGGGTCCGGCCCATGAACAGGCGGTGAGTGACTTTAAGCTTATCACGGCTCATGTTCACGATTTAAAGGCAGGCTGACGTCATCGCCTCAGCCGTGTGTACCTGAGAGCCTGCGCGGGCTCACCTGGAGGAGACTGCAGGGATGACTGCAGGGATGAGGCCCCAGGTTTACCCTGCAGCACAGCCGTCTCTGAAGTCAGGGTTAAAATGTGTTTTATTCCGGTCTGAGTATCAGGAGGTTTTTGATGTGTGAGTCTCAGTTTGGTTTATTACGATCACTGAAGCCTCCTCAGGATGTCAGTCTTTGTTTGTTGTTCCAGCTGGTTTTATTCTCATTTGGTGGACATGATAACCTTGATCCTGACTCTTTGTGTTATTAGTCAGAGTTATTCTGATTGTAGGGGTTATGGGCAGACCCTCCTGCAGGTTTGTGCTGACAGGTTTGATCAAACAGAGGTTTCCTCTGTGTTTTTATGTTTTAGGTCAGCGTTGCTTTACTTCTTTCCTAAAGTAGAGATATTTTTATTTAGTTCCCACAGCAGCTTGGTTCATGTCTGTTGGCTGTTAGTCGTACTGTGACCGTGACCCGTCTGCTGACATTTTATTTTTGCCTCATTCAGATTCAATAACCCGGATATCGACTCTCTGGCAGCCTGTCGCTGTTCCAGCTTCATATTTTAAGTCTGCGGCTTTGCATGATTTTTGTGTGGGGCTGAAGGGTGCAGCAGGGCGGGGTGAGAAAAATCCACACCTGTCAGACTGCTCATTGAAAGATTACAAAGACACACAGGTCCTCCCTAAGTACGGAGGCCCAGAGGCGCCAAACTGACTGTCCTTTGTTGGAATATTCTCACGCATCCTTTCAGACTCTGCAGAGTCGTTTAGAAACAGGAAGTGATGTCATCAGTCTCCAGAGAATTTGTCATTCAAAACAAAAACCTCCACCTTCACTGGAACTGAAGTGTTGTGTGTCATACACCTCCAGGCATAAATGTTGTGTTCGTGACGGTGAAACTGAGAGGTCCGTGCGCTGTGTGTGTGTGTGTGTGTGTGTGTGTGGATATAAAATCAGCTTTAAACTCGTCATTTGTGGTTTTGCTGACGGCGTCTGAGAAACCTCACATCACACACAAACACACACAAATGTGTGAACCTGGACTGTGTGCTGGTGTCTCTGACCTCATGACCAGGTACACATTATTAACGTGTTTACCTGAATCCGTCCAATGGAAACATTTGGTGGATGTGACACGTTCACTCTGACCGGCCTGCTCCACCTGTCTGAGGGCAGCAGGGTGAACGTGTGGAAGCCTGGTTCTGTAGTGCAGGTTTCCAGGTGTTTGTGAAAGGACGACCTTGACGTTAATGTCGGGGCTGCTCGGGGGCCCGCAGCAGGTTACGGCCCTGCAGCTCGCCCTGTTTATTTCACTGCTTCAGCTCCAGGCTGGAAGCTTTAACTCCGAGTTTAAGCCAATAATCAGCTTTCTGATCTAAGTATTTGTTCATGTTCGCAGCGCTGAGTGTGGTTCCTGCTGCTGGATCTGTGTGCTGTCAGTCTGAGATTACAGCAGAAATGAGAGATTATTGTTTCAATCTGCTAAGAATGAAGCAACATCCTGAACTTCTTACTAATGTGAGCATTTCAAAATAAAATCTGAGTAAGATGAGAATGCCATCAGTGTGAGAGCACGAGGTGGACGGAGCGTTCACACAGAGGAAGCCTGAGAAAAAGATTCATCCGTGTGAAGTAACCACGGCGCAGGTTAATAACACGTTTCACAGTCCCATGATCCACTGACCTTTGACCCTTTTGTCTTTTTAGCTCCGGTCTGGTGTGTTTGTGTTAACTCGATCTCCGGTCATGTGACTGCTTCAGTGTGAGAGTAAACAGAGTTACACAACCTGCAGAGATAAAACACACCTGAGTGAGAAAACATCAGGATGTCGCAGTGTGTGTG